GGGACCAGGAGTTGTTTGTAGCATGGCTTAAGTTCCATTTCCAAGTTGCTACTGAGATTGGTCAACTGCCATTGTACAGTCAGCTTCAACATCCCAAAGATCCTCTGCAGCAACATCAGATTTCATCTTTTTCCTTCTCCTCAGAGAGAATCCACCACCTTCCCCAATGGTTCAGCAACCTGCATACGGAAATGAAATCTCATTTCCTGGAGAAGACAGTGATGGTCAGGCAGGATAGATAACTCAGTGTCCTCTCATGTTCTTACCTTCTGAAGCTTTGCAGGATGGCTTGGCTTGATGGGACCAACTCATCCAACCATAAACATGACCCTTCTGACAGCGGTTTTGACAGTTGTTGTTTTATGTTACTGTAGTAGAGCTGCTCCAAAGATCCTGGTTTTTTACGAGAGCATGTAGCGATAGGGCAAGGGGAATGGCTTCAAACTGAAAGAGATTAGGTTTAGATTAGATGTTGAGAAGAAATTCTTTACTGTGAGGATGGTGAGGCACTGGAACAGGTTGCCCAGAGAAGTTGCGGATGCCACATCCCTGGAAGTGTTCAAGGCCAGATTGGATAGGGTTCTGAGTAACCTGGTCTAGTGGAAGGTGTCCCTGCCCACGGCAGGGGGGTTGGAACTTGATGATCTTTAAGGTCCCTTCCACCCATTTTATGATGTAATCAAATGCGATGGGGTTTTTTTTCTTTCTCCCCTCTCTTTAATATATGCATAACCCAAGCTTTTGACATCAGTTTGCAAAAGTGCTGACATCTTTGCTCACTTTTTTTCTGTCAGAATCTGTGATGTATAAGCTAGTGTTCTCCAACTCCAACCACATTTTTTGTAAAAGACCTGCAGCAAGACTGCCTTGGAAGCATCTGTGAACTGTCAAGTTTCGTGCTTGCTACTGCAGTATCTCAGGACTGTTGTCCCCTCCTGCCAGCTCTTTTCTGAGGTTTACCTCCCATTTCCACTGCACTCTGCTGTACTTTGGTGGTGTCACCCTGCAGGCAGGATGGAGCAAGGCTGGGAGAGCAGCTGTTGGGGATGTTGGGTTTCTGTCGCTGGAGGGGGCAAGGCATAAGGGACTCCACCTGTTAGGTTTTTAATGCTTTTTTTCCTCTGGTCTCTTTTTTCACCAGACTACTGACACCATGTACAGTGTCAGAGCACCATACTCCTTACCAGTCTCCTCCTGAGCAGGAGGGAGTCTTTGATCATCGTCCTCACCTGCTTTCTCAGAGTAAAGTCAGGTTCTTGATTGGATCTCTGTGTGACTGTTTCATCCCTGGTAACTACTCCAGCACTGTCTGTTCCTATGGAATAAACCATCTCTGAGAAAAAGTTTTGAAAGTCTTAGAAACAAGGTTTAAGAAATTCACAAGCTCTGGTAGGTTGTAAAATTTTTTAGGTACTCTTTGTTTAATGAGATTTGTGTCTCCTTCCCTGGAGATATTCAAAAGCTGTCTGGACACAATCCTGAGTAACATGCCCCATGGGACACTACTTGAGTACGGAGGTTTGACTAGGTGACCTCCAGTAGTCCCTTCCAACCTTATCCATTATGTGATTCTGTGAAATACTGTTATTTTGTCTCATTTTGCATGACTTCAGTGTTTTCAAAATTTACTTCGAATACTTTCATTATTAATATCTGCCCTGAAATAATTGCAAATAATGAAAACACCAAGTGTGCTAGAGAAATAATGTTCTTTTCTGATTATCCTCCTTTTTTTTTTTCTGAGCATCCTTTGCTCATAAAAGTTGTGAAGCTCTGTTCAAACCTTCTTTGGTCATCCTCCATATTATTGGAGTTTGAACTTAGGAGGGAATTTCACGCTCCACCCTCCAGATATAGATAAGGAGATGAGTGCTATCCCTTTGGGGCAAAGTATGATCTTAATTCATTTTTGATAGCAAAGGTTGTTCATGTCCCCTGGGATAAGGAGGCTGACCATGGTGACCTTAAGTCATCATCAGCTGGCAGAGACAAGGCTTGACCTTATCCCCTTTCTCCTTCATGGTATAATTTCCCACTACACTCCAGAGCTATCTCATATGTTGAATTTATTTTGTGTCAAGGAAAATTTAGTTGGTGGAGATGCCTGCAGCTTGTATGCAAGTTCTATGAGCTCATGATGTCACCAAACATGACAAATGAAACTTATCCAACACCAATTTTATATGAATAAACGACACTTCTTTATTAAAGCACGGGGAACATGGGGGAATCAGCTCCTCCAAAACGTGCTTATTCATACAGCTTATATACCTTATCATTACATAAATTTCCATTTTTCTATTCATTTTATACTTATGCCTAGCTAAGTTCTATTCTTCCAATTAGTTATATAGTAGTCATGGTCTAGTTACCCCACTCTTAAATCTAACCTCTAAAGTGATTGGTTGTTTTAGGTATATTGTTTTAATCTACAACAATCATTGGTCTATACTATTTAGCTATACTAATCTGGGTATGCAGTGTCCAGACTGAAATGGGGAAGGTGCAGGGGACTCGAAAGCAGCTTTGTATGGTCCAGCAACTTCTTGGCAAGGTTCCTATGGTTCCCTTCTTTCTAACACAATACCCCTACAAATCCTACAACATGGTTCTTCTCTATCTTAATCACAGCTACTTCTTTTATATTATCAAATCTTGATTGTTTTATCACATTATTTGCAACAATGACAGCATTATTTGTCATTCTGTAACACAAAGCATGCACATAATTTTAGAACAACTTTTAGAGGAGAGTGAAAATTAGACAAATTTATTTTAAAAAGCCTTGTTGTTGAGTCACCAGGTGCAGAAAGGACTCCCTTGCTTTCTAAGCTCCTTTTCAGAGAAGGGTTTAGGTGCAGCTGAATCCTATCTTAGCCTCAGACTGTGTCTACAGTTTAAATTTAGGAATTATAGAAGTGTGATTAAATCACTTTATCCCGCAGGTTTTTAATAATGGCAAAATGGATATATTAATATAAAATAAATTATTTATTATGACAAATAAACAGACAAGTGAACAGATGAAAGATCTTATTCAGAATTATTTACTACACAGTGTAAAATCTAAAAATCTACTAGTAGAGTATAATATAGCATAAAGTAGTATAGTGCACTGTATCAAAGCAATTATATTAAAACAATTGTATCAAAGCTAGCAAAAGAAACAATCATTAAGTAGAGATTGATATAACTCACCATGCAACATAGCAGGCAGATCTCTCTCTTTCTTTTAACCCCTGGGGAGCAACCATGAAGAGGCATTCCTACTTCACGGGAGAAGCTCCCTGCTTCAAGGAAGTATGTGGAAGAGTCTGCTATGTGAAAGTTGGACTGGGCTTTTATAGTTATAAAATGATGGACTGGTAGTCACAGATTTTCAGGCCAGCAGACAGGTACGGCAGCCAAAAAGATGCTTGCTCAGTCGGTTGGCAGGCAACAGCTTTATTAACAGCAGGCTTAGTTTTATAGTCTTTTTCTCTGTCCATGCGTACATATGTTATCTTTCATTGGTTATGGGGTCCTGTCCACGTGTCTAGGCTTCTCCTTTGATAGGTGGACATCATCCTTTCATGCGCTGGCATATCTCACAACAACACCTGTTATTTACAGTTTTTCTTCCTCCTTTTCTACTCTCCCACCTTCCTGGTATTTACATTCTTTTACAAGCCCACAGCTGTAACTGATCAAATTCAAGACCTAAGCTGTCTACAGCCCAGTCGTTTCCCACAATTCTCCCTTTTTGTTTTTGTGCTTCAAAAGTTGAGTTTATCATCCTCTGCCGAGCCCTTTGCAGAAAGGATAACAAACACGGTAATAGTAATACAATTATTACTAACACCAGTAGGCAATAAAAGCTTGGTTTTGCCAATTGTTTGACCCAGGCACTAGGACTTCATCCATTCAACCATCCATCAATGCCAAAAATTCCTTTGTTTTGTGTTATCCTTTGAGTTGCTGCCTGTAGGTCTGCTATGCTTTTATATATAGATTCAGAATGGTCTGATAGATTCATGCAACACATTCCCTCAAAATCTTGACACCCATGTAAAGTATTTTTAAGTCCATGCACATATATGTCTACACAGCTTTTCTTACTCACAGCTTTTTTCCAGCCACTCAATAGGTGGCCACCTCAGTCATTCTTCATTCACACATAGTTAGAATTTTTATTATACTTTTGCATTTTAATCACACATTTTAGATTTTAAGTAGTTATTGGCTGTGTACTTCTCAGTCTGTCATTTCTGGTAGTCATGTTCAACAACTGTACCTGTTTTGAAGAGGAATTAATATAAGGAATATAATGCTTAACAAACATAAATGAGATTCATTCTGATCCAGCACCTGTTTATGCGCATGCATATTATCCTCTCCCCCCCATTTTTTTTTTTTTTTGTAAATATGTTTGGAGTGCAAAATGCTATCTTGACAATAACTTGTTCTATGAGTGAGTTAGTTTTGTTTAGAATACCAAAAGCTAATGAATTCAAGTCAGTTTAAGTTTAAAGCAGACTGTTTAAGTCAGTCTACTTTGGAGACGATGTAGTCCTGTGTCATAGTTCTGATTTTTAGCAAAGAATTTTTTCTTCCCCTTTCCCCTGCCGTGTGTGTATGCTCTGTATATTGCCCATTAGGTGAACAAAAGAATCGGCCCGAGCCCACTAATGGCCGATTTGTTTCCTTGACAATGAAGGGAGGGGGTTGGCTGGTGTGTGACTGGAAGGGGGTGGAGGCTGGGGGGAGAGGGGAGTCTCTCTCTCTCTGCCCGGAAGGAGAGCTGGCTGCGGGCTACAGACACTGCCGGGTTCCTTTGTCTCTTTCCTGTCGGAGGGGAGTTCTGGCTGCTGCTCTTGGCTCAGTTGTGACTGGCTGCAGACCATGCTTACAACAGACCCTAATCAGCTGAAGTTTGTGAGTTTTCTTCCATTGGGAGAACTTTCTGTTTTATTGCTGTTGTTTTCCTTCCCCTTCTTCCCCCCCCCCCCACCTGGTGGCAGCCAAGGATCTCACAGCGCCGCCTCGTGACGGGCACTGGACATCACAAGTTCTACTCTCCCAGTGATCCAACAGCGCCACCTGGTGACTACAATAGGACACTACAAGTTTTTGCACCTTCAGTGACCCAACAGCACCACCTGGTGAATGGTACAGGACATTACAAATTTTGCATCTCCAGTGACCCGACGGCGCCCCCTGCTGACTGTGGTTGGAACCGCACCAAAGGGTGCAAGAAACTGAACTATTTTCCTTTTGCCGGTTTATCAGTTTTGTTCTTGAAGGGGATTATTGGTGGTTATAGGAGTATTACTTAGTTATTTTACTTGGGTTTTTTTCATGTTCCTGTTAATACACACATACCTTTAATAAAGGGCTGTTATTTTCCCTTTTCCATAATTTGTTTTCCTTCAATCGAAGCCTCTTAATTTTGGATTTATAATTACTTGGAAAGAGAAGTTTGGGTCTTTTCCTCCTAATCCATCCTCAGCAAAAGACCCTTGTCTCATTTAAACTGGGACATCCTGATACTCAGGTCAAATGGCTGATCCAGACAAACAGAAAAACTTATCATTTGGCTGAATAGATTTTCTCAATGAGTTCACTGCAGGGAGACACAAATGTGGTACCAGGAAGGGGGAAAAGGAAAGAAGGAAGGTTTAATTTGTCATTACAGGATCACAGTAACCCAGACTAGTATCAAATTAGCAAATCTCCTGAATTACTCTTAATTATTCTTCCAGCAAACAGATATAAAGGAGAGTAAAAAGGAAAAAACAACTCTTTAAACCTCTGAAATTGACTGAAATTAGTTTAAGAACTGCTTGAAGAATAAAAATCTCAGGACTTCTCAAACATCAGTATTTCAGGTATAAATGTGAGTTCCTGTCCCTCTACACAGAGGGTGAACTGCACCTGACTACCAGTCCCATGGTTGGTCCCTGTAGGCTAAAACAAAAGGTAAATAAGTCAAAGGTTCTGTTTGTAACTGAACATCACTGTATCATGTTTTCATCTAATTCTATAGTTTTGCCCATCTTTTAGCAACATGCTCTAAGAACTGTAAATGGTATTTCACTTCTTGAATTTAGTTACTCATAATTTACATCATGATAGAACTGAAGAGATATGGTATCAAATATGAATTAAATTAAACTGCACAATACGCTATCATGGGATTGTCTACTCAACAGTGTTATTACTGAGTAAGAATCTTTAAATGTCTACAGTAGGCATATCAAGAGAAGCTTCACAGCAGCAGTCACTAAAGTGGTCACCACTTTTGCAGCAAGCAGCAAAACGGTTGCTTCGGTTACTGAGGGTGGCTCGATCACCCCCACTCCCTCCTGACAGACCGCTGCCATGACCCTTCCCCTGGCCCCTTGGACTGGCTAACACGAAAAAGAGGGGGAAAGGAGAGCTAGCTATATTGGCCTCTGTTTACTCTGTTTTAGGCTCACAGCCTATGAATATTCCTGCCCTCTGTGTCCTGATTGAACTCGGGAAGGTGGAACTGTGACAAAATCAGAAGGGGAGCCGCTATTTTGCTCTCAATGTGAACTAACAATGTTTTAGAAGTTGACTGTTTGCAGAAAGTCTATTTCAGTGGACAGATCTGAGAATTGTGCCACCAGAACTCAGACTAAAAGTGGTATGGATAAAAATGACTTTGTGCAGGGATGAACGAATGCCTTAACAACTGCAAGTATGATGCACCAAGACAAAGGTTTTGAACTGTAATAAAATTCCAGAAATAAGTCAGGAATAAGTAAACAAGGAGGACTAATAAAGAAAAACTCCTACCACAGTTGAGAACTGTAATAAAATCAGACTATGATATCCAAAAGCTGGTGCATATACAAAAATTGGACTGCAATTTGAATTGTATTTGTTTTTGTTATCTTCTGTTATATTTGTAAATGTTCTGTCCCAGCAGTTTAACAACATTTTAATAGATACAGGAGCTACATTTTCTGTATTAAACCAGGCTTTAGTACCCACTGATGTAAGTTTTGTATTGGTAAGGGGAACCACGGACCAAACAGAAAAAGGCTTAAGTTTTAAAACAAAACAATTTGGAATCCAAAAATTCTTATACATGCCAAACTCGCCAGTCTCTTTACTAGGAAGAGACTTATTGGAGCAATTGTGAGTTGAAATTAAATTTAAACAGGGCAAAATAAAATCCAAGATAAAAGAGGCAATTATTAAAATTTTAAGTCTTGCCCTAATAGAGACCTAAAATTCAAGCAGTATGCCTGAAAAGGTAGTGAATCAAGTATTCCCTGGAGTATGGGCTTCAGAAACCCCAGGGAGAGCAAAGATAGCATTGCCAATCAAAGTAAAAGTTATTAAAAGAATGTGAATCAAATATAATACTCCCATCTTGCCAGTGAAGAAACCTGATGGGAAGTATAGGATAGTGCAAAATCTTAGAGCAATTAATAAGATAACTGAAGACTTACACCCTGTAGTAGCAAACCCGTATACGCTGCTGACCAAATTGGCAACAGAGCTAGAATGGTTTACCATCCTGGATCTAATGTCCAGTCTACCCACAGTTAAAATATGTCCCTTCAACTCTCGCAGCAGCAACAAAGGTCCTAGGGAGCTTCTGCATTTGAAAAACTACAGACTCTACTTTCGCATATGCTCCAATTATATTCACTAAGGTAGCACCTGCTGGGAGAGGCAACAAAGTCCATTTGCAGTCTTCATTAACATCATCTGAGGCTGCCTGCAGAAGCAGGGTGTCTCTGGCAGGCACATTAAATATTTACTTTTTTATAGTTCCTCAAAGTCTATCCACAAAAGTGACATACAATTCGTCATAAATCTTTTCACACTTGATAACCATCACCACACTCTCACACAAACAAACTTTTGAGTCTTTGTTATGTTTTATGATTATGAAATGAGAAATTGACACTCTTCTTTCTCACGTTTAGAGTAGCAATGTTTAACTGTGTTTCTTTTGATCTTTGAATTACTGTTTTGATGAGATTATAACCTGTAAAACATAAACATATTTCTACCTCTTGTTCAATTTAAAATCCAAAAACATATAATTCCTTCATAAACATTCTTAAAGTTCAAAGATAATATAAACACTCCTTTGGGGGTTATGTTTGTTATTGTGCAATTTACAAGGTTTCTGTGGAGTCAGGAATCAGCGGGCGGGCTTCTGTGGGATTCTGTGGAGTGAATGGTTGTCATAGCGACTGTGTTTAAATCGTCATTTTGTTCAAGTGCTCTTCTTTGTAGTGTGGGGGGGGTTCTTGGCTTCTGCCTCCCCATACTTTCTCACTAGCCCTCCAACTTGCCCTACCTCCCTGCCTCGGCTTATCTTCAGCACCCATTGCGGACAGGGGGCATCCTCAGTCCTGATCTTGGGCAGCCCAGACCCCAACCTGCTCCAACTCTGACTTGGCTCTGCAGAGCCACCCCACACCGCCAGAGCCAGTCCTCGCTGTTGCTTTGCATTGCCCCCACATGCTGTGCCTCTGCAAGCTCCATGCCCAGTCCATCCCGCCGTGGCCACTGTGTGCCCTGTCAATGCCGCTTGCATGCCACTGCTCACGGTTCACGCTTTTTGTCCCACACGGAGTCGTCATCTCTTCGAACTTTGCACTGCGAGCTCTTCGGGGACCGCGCCGCTTCTCAACTCTGCTTCGACAGAGCACCACAAGTTACAGAGTTCCTTTTAGTAGTAGCATCAAAAAGTACTTTTCCTGCATTTTCCCAAGTGTCTATATGAAATGCAGTCTGAGCGTTTGCATCTACCCCATTCCTTTTGCACCAAATAAACAAGGTGCAGAGCACTCATTCATCATACTTAATTCCCCATTTTTCTAGTATTTTAATTATTATAGTCACACTTGACTTCTCTTCTGTAGTAATTTGAGCTCCCATTATGTCCCCAGTGGCTCACCTTCTCCCAAGGTGTCTGTAGTAGATTCGTCCGGACTCCGACTCTAAGGTCTGCCGGTTTTTGCTTCACTGGGCTCCGCCTCTCCACTCTAGGTCCATGGATAACCTGGGAAATAGTGTCCATGGTTAGATCCACCCATCTGTAGGTGGTATCTCTGCCCTGATGGCCTGAAGCATCATGGGCCCATCGAGCCAAAACAACTCTCCCTTATGTTGCCAGTCTAGATCTACCTGTGACACCTCAACTTGTGCATCTCGGTCTGCTTGTTTGTTGTTGTGATGTTCCTCATTAGCTCGATTTTTAGGTACATGGGCATCTACATGGCGGACTCTCACAGTCAGCTTCTCAACCTGAGTGGCAATGTCTTGGGGCAAATCAGCAACCCAGATGGGTTTTCCTCTATGCTTCCAATTAGTCTTCTTCCATAGGTCCAACCACCCCCACAGAGCATTGACTATCATCCATGAGTCAGTGTAGAGGTAAAACCTTGACCAATTCTCTCATTTGGCAATGTCCAGGGCCAATTTAATGACTTTGAGTGCTGCAAATTGACTCGATTCACCTTCTCCTTCAGTAACTTCTGCCACTTGTCATGTGGGACTCCAGACAGATGCTTTCCACTTCCGGTTCTTCCCTACAATACAGCAAGAACCATCATTGAAAAGGGCATAATGTGTTTCTCCTTCGGGTAACTGATTGTATGGTGGAGCTTCCTCAGCCCGATCCACTTGTTCTTCATCCTCCTCATCTGCCAGACTGAAGTTTACACCTTCAGGCCAATTTGTTATGATCTCTAGGATTTCCGGGCCATTCGAGTTTCTGATTCAGGCATGTTGTGTAATCAAAGCAATCCACTTACTCCATGTAGCATCCGTCGCATGATGCGTAGAGGACACCTTTCCCTTGAACATCCATCTCAGCACTGGTAGTCAGGGTGCCAGGAAAATCTGTGCTTTTGTTCCAATTACCTCTGAGGCTGCTTGTATTCTCTCATAAGCTGCTAGGATTTCCTTTTCCATGGGAGTGTAGTTGGTGTCAGATCCTCTATAGCTTCAGCTCCAGAAACCAAGTGGTCGACCTCGGGTCTCACCAGGCACCTTTTGCTAGAGGCTCCAGGAGGGACCATTATTCCCTTCTGTAGAATAAAGTACATTCTTCACTTTTGGTTCTGTCCTGACTGGTCCAAGGGCCATGATGTGTGCAATCTCCTGTTTAATCTGTTTAAAGGCTTACTGTTGTTCAGGACCCCATTGGAAATCATTCTTCTTATGGGTCACTAAGTAAAGAGGGCTCACAATTTGGCTGTACTCAGGGATATGCATTCTCCAAAAACCTATGGCCCCCAAGAAGGCTTGTGTTTCCTTCTTGTTCATTGGTGGAACCATCGTTATGATCTTGTTGATGACTTCTGATGGAATCTGACAACGTCCATCTTGCCATTTTACCCTTAGGAATTGGATCTCCTTGGCAGGTCCCTTGACCTTACTCCTTTTGATGGCAAAACCCTGGATGATTTCCTTTCCTTTTTCAAAAACGTCCTCTGCTGCATCCCCCCATACAATAATGTCATCAATATATTGTATGTGTTCTGGAACCTCACCCTTCTCTAGTGTAGCCTGGATCAGTCCATGGCAGATGGTGGGGCTGTGTTTCCACCCCTGGGGCAGTGGGTTCCAGGTGTACTGCACGCCTCTCCATGTAAAAGCAGATTGCGACCTGCTCTCTGCTTCTAAGGGGATGGAGAAGAACTCATTTGCAATATCAGTGGTGGCGTACACTTTGCTGCCTTGGATTCCAGTTTGTACTG